AAAAGCAAAGTCCTTGACCTGATGGAGCTCACATTCCAGTGGGGAGAAGTCAGACAAAAGTCCATCATAGTATGTCAGCTAATGATAAGATTAAGGAGAAAAACAACTGGGAGCCACATAACAGGTGGGGTGGGCAGGGAGAAGTTGCTCTTTTATAGTGTGGCCAGGGTAGGCATCTCTAATACAGTAAATATGAACAGAAACCAGAGAGAACTGAGGGAGCAGACAAGCTAATATATGGGTGAAGAATGTTAGGGAAAAGGCAACAGCCAATGCAAAGGCCCTGAGGTGAGAGCATCAATGGGAGAGAGTATTTGAGAAAACAAGGTGGGGCTAGGGTGCACAGAATCTGATGAGAAAAGAAGACTGTAGTAAAATATGCCAGGGTGGGGGAAAGCAAACCATGCATGGCCATTTTAAGAACTTTTCAACAGGGGAGTGGCATGACTGCACTTATGTTTCAATACAGTCACTCTGCTTTCTTGAGAACAGATTAAAAGAAAACAAAGGTCAAAGCAAGAAGTCCAGTTATCTCAGTGGGAGACAATGGTTTAAGTTGGAGTGGCAGTAGTGAAGAGAATTAGAAATGGTAAAATTCTGAACATAGGCCACGTGCAGTGGCTCATGCTTGTAATCCCAGCATTTTGGGAGGCCAAGGCAGGTGGATCACCTAAAGTCAGGAGTCCGAGACCAGCCTGGCCAACATGGTGAAACCCCATCTGTACTAAAAATACAAAAGTCAGCAGGGTATGGTGGTACGCGCCTGTAATCCCAGTTACTCAGGAGGCTGAGGCAGAAGGGCCTGCTTGAAACTGGGAAGCAGAGGTTGCAGTGAGCCAATCGCACAACTGCACTCCAGCCTGGGCAACAGAGCAAGACTCCATCTCAAAAAAAAAAAAAAAAAAAAAAAAATTGGAACATATTTTGAAGGTAAAATCAGTAAGCTTTACTGATGGATTTGGATTTGGGATATAATATAAAAAGAAGAGAGAGATAAGAATGACTCCAAGGATTTTAGCTGTAACAATTAGAAGGAGAAAAGTTGACAGTTATTGAGATGTAGAAGGCTGTGGAGGTCAGGCACAGTGGCCCACACCTATAATCCCAGCACTTTGGGAGGCCAAGGTAGAAGGTTCACTTGAGTTCAGGAGTTTGAGAACAGACTAGGTAATACACCAATACCCTGTCTCTACGTTAAAAAAAAACAAAAAGAAGAAGGAAGGACGGAAGGAAGGAAGGAAGGGAGGGAGGGAGAGAGGGAGGGAGGGAAAAAGGAGGAGGAGGAGGAGGAGGAGGAGGAGCAGCAGCAGCAGCAGCAGCAGCAGCAGCAGGCAGCGGCGGCAGAGGCTGTAGGAGAAATAGGTTTCAGGTGGGGGACAGAAGGAAGCGTTCAGTTTTGAACATGTTAAATTTGATATGTTTGTTAGACATAAAGAGGAAATGCCTGGAAGCAACCGACACAGGCCTAAAATTCAGGGCGGAACTCTGGGCTAGAGACATAAACTTGGAAGTCCTCTGCACGTAGGAGTGAAGTTTTAATAACAAAGGAACTAGATGAGATTAAGAAGGCCCGTTGTGGTGGCTCCCATCTGTAATCCCAGCACTTTGGGGAGGCTGAGGTGTGAGGATCACTTGAGGTCACGAGTTTGAGACCAGCCTGGCCAACATGGCAAAACTCTGTCGCTACTAAAAATACAAAACTCAGCCATTGGGAGGTTGAGGTGGAGGAATCACTTGAGCCCAGGAGATGAAAGCTGTAGTGAACTGAGATTGCACCATTGCACTCCAGTCTGGGCAACAGATTGAGACCTGTTGCTCAATCTGTTGAGTACAGACCCCCTTTTTTTTTTAAAAAAAAAAAAAAAAAAAAAAGAGAGGAAGGTTAAGAAGGAAAGGAAGGTAGATAAATGAGTCTGAAGACAGAGCCCTGGAACACTTTAATGTTTAGAGATAGGGGATGTGAGGAAAAATCAAGAGTGGAAGCTAAGTGAAGACCGTACGCTTAGAGAAGAAAGAATGACCAACGGTTGATAATGAATTGCATCTGATAAGTTCTGATGTGAAGGTCATATCCTTTGAAACACTGGGAGGGAAACTGCTTCCAGATTTCTTGCAATGATAAACAATACCTCAATAAATATCTTTGTGTAATTTTATGGGAATGGAATTTCTGGACCCAAGGATATATAAACTTAACATTGAGATACATTACCAAGTTGTCCACATGACTACATCAATTTATAGACAGAATAAAGCTGTAGGTATCTCTAAATATCACCTACACTGAAAACTATCAAATGTATTAATACTTGCCAATTTGCTAGGTCAAAATGTCATCTTGTTTTATTTTGCACTTCTCTATGGCCAAAATTGAGCATTATTTCAAGTTATTAGCCACTTGTCTTCTTTTAAAAAACAATCTTGCCTATTTTTCTAAGATTCTGCTTTCCTTTACTGATTTACAACACTTGTATATCAATACTAACCCATTTACTATTTTCTTTTTTTTTTTGAGACGGAGTTTCGCTCTTGTTACCCAGGCTGGGGTACAATGGCGCGATCTCGGCTCACTGCAACCTCCACCTTCTGGGTTCAAGCAATTCTCCTGCCTCAGCCTCCTGAGTAGCTGGGACTACAGCTGCACACTACCATGCCCAGCCAATTTTTGTATTTTTAGTAGAGACGGGGTTTCACCTTGTTGACCAGGATGGTCTCGATCTCTTGACCTTGTGATCCACCCGCCTCAGCCTCCCAAAGTGCTGGAATTACAGGCTTGAGCCACCGCGCCCGGCCTTTTTTCTTTCTTTATACTACTAAGCTTATGTGCTGGCTGGTACTACTGAGAAGCAAAGAGAAACAGAACTGTACCAAAGCATTTAGACTTTTAGTTTTTCACACTGTTTCCATGTTCCTTCTTCATACGTGGTCATTTTGTTACTTGTCTCTGTCACCTCTTTCCATGTGAGAACAATGTGGCTACAGCATCTGCTACTCCTCTGATAGCGGAGTGTGTCAGCTGATAGGACTAAGCAGGTGGTCCTTCATGCGCATCCACCAACAGCCTGCGTGCCCATCCCTTTTATAGAAGATGGAAAGGGGAACAAGCTCTTGCTAACCAAATCTTGTGTATTTAACTATGAGCTCATTACATGGTGGGCACTGCGTGTAAGTATGTGGAATAAACAAAGGTAACTCCTCTCAAGTGAAAAAGAGGTAATTTTTAAGGCAACGACAAAAAGACAAGTAACTCCTTGATTATCCAAAGTTCTTCCTGGAAAAGTTAGATCCAAAATAAAGATTTAACAAAAGTAAGTATATGGTGAACATAAACAATCTCGAAATGTGTGAATGACATACATACATTCTCTAAAACAATACTATAGTGTACTGCATTCTCAAAGGAACTATTCCACACTGCTATCAGTCCCTCTCACAATATTATATGGGTCAATTCTCCCATTTTTAAAGTATGTATATTTCCTTTGTTACCTAAGGAAAGGACTGTACTGCCTTCACACCAGAAGTTTCCCCATCCTTTGATGATTAAAGATCAAAACACTTCTAATATTAAACAATGAAATAAATGTGAGCTCTACCTACATTTAGGATTAACAAAAACAAGTAAGATACTGGGTTCCACTTTACAAAAAAAAAAAAAAGTAAGATAATAATGTATCTGTTTATTCCAGTACACGGGGTGAATAGCCAGAGCCTATCCCAGGCAGCTCAGGGTACAGGCAGAAACCAGACCTAGATAGGAAGCCATTTTGTTGTGCACACACACCCACACTCACTCAGACTGGAACTCCGTACACACAGTAATGAACCTAATGAGCATGTCTTTGGGATATGGGAGGAAACCAGAGTACCCACGCAGACATGGGGAGAACATGCAAACTCCACACAGATGGTGGAGTCAGCTCACAGTGGCTAATTAACGCTATAACAAAACCATTTGAATAAAATGGATGTTATTCAAAGAGTGTTGTATCTCTTTCTTAAGGTAAAGCTACCGTAACTATAAAAAAATGCCAAATCATGCACAATAGTTTCCTATCTGGTTAACTGTTTTATTATCTGTATTTCCTTTCCTTAAGACAACCATTATTTTCAGTACCTTTTTGAGCACAGTTGGTGGAGTGTGGACTGAAGACTCAGAATCCATAGGGCAAATAAACAGGAAACTTAGATTATAACTGGACAAAATGAACCAGTAAGAGGAACAAAATTTGGATGAATGGTGACTTTAATTCTGAAAGATGCCCTTAAAAGTGGAATAGGAATAGGGCAATGGGACTTTCTGTTACTCTGGCACCACTGGCAATAAACTGGTGACCCTATAGGGCCCAGAAACCAGGAAAAGTAACGGTTGGTTCAAATGGCATTCACAGTGCATTATGAAATGAGGTCAAACTTTCATAATACTCAAATTCTTGTTCTTCAAACACGGAGAAAGAAGCAAGCTGAAAGGAGCAAATAGGTATCTAAATATTCCTGGGAAAGGTAGCGTACCAACACTGTGAAGGGGTGAGAAAGCAAGTGTGTACATAGCCCAAATACTACATGGGGCAAATGACTAGTAAGCTTGCTGTGAGAATGCCTGCTCACATACTGAAACTGTACTGACTTGAGTATTAACTTACATAGATATGGCTGGAACTTGGAGATTCTATTTTTAATTATATCTTGGTTGTTAATGCAATTTGATCTGTATTTTCGTCTTTGTCAATCTAAGACTGTGCTTTCCTTCCTATTGTGCGTTCAGGCTTTGACAAAGCAGTCTCCCTCAGGAGCCTGAACCAAGGGAGATTGAGTAAAAACACAATACATTTAGAAGTGATATAGAATTAGACATGTTTGGGAATGACAGTAAGGGGAAATCATATTTTTAAAAAAACCTAGATATGTCCATATCTCTCTATCAAAATAATTAATCCAACTTCATCAAGGAGTGCTAGGGAAATGGCAAGGATCTAAATTAACTTAGGCTTTGTACTCACTGAAACAAAAGTGAAGCAGAGGCCAGCTCCCCTTTGTGCCAGCTGCTCCGTGTCTAGCCGAGGTTTTGCTAGCATCACTGACATGAGGGTTGGCAGAGCAGACTGCTCCTCTGTCGCCTCCTTTGCAGCGGTGCCATCTAAACCATAGAGGGGCTGTTCTACTCGTCGCTGGAAAACAGTAAAGAAACACACAAATAACATGAGAAAGATAATCTGATACTGCCCAAACATGCAACAGGCTAAAAACAGTTATCAAATATAACATGAATGATTTTTTTTAAAAAGCCTCTCTAAAAATAATTATGGAGAGCACGCCAACATTATCACTTGATTATAATCTATCTAAAAATGTGACCATCTTACTCAAATTGTTTGACATATTTTAATGGTTCTATACTTATGTAAGTCTAAATTTATACGTTACTTTGTAGAGTTCAAAAAATCAACTTCACAATGCCCTCAACCCTACACAGGAAATATTATTTCCATCCTGTAGGTAAATGAAAATTAAGACATTGTCCCATGACTTTTCTTTTTTTTTTTTTGAGATAGAGTTTCATTCTTGTTGCCCAGACCGGAGTGCAATGGCATGGTCTCAGCTCACTGCAACCTCCACTTCCCGGGTTTAAAGCAATTCTCCTGCCTCAGCCTCCCAAGTAGCTAGGATTACAGGCACCCACCACCACGCCTGGCTAATTTTTGTTTGTATTTTTAGTATAGATGGGGTTTCAACATGTTGGCCAGGCTGGTCTCAAACTCCTGAACTCAGGCAATCTGTCCATTTCGGCCTCTCAAAGTGCTGGGATTACAGGCATGAGCCACTGTGCCTGTCCCGTCCCATGACTTAAAAAGGTGGAGCTTATTTCACTCTTTTTTTTTTTTTTTTTGAGATGGAGTTTCGCTCTTGTTACCCAGGCTGGAGTGCAATGGCGCGATCTCGGCTCACTGCAACCTCCGCCTCCTGGGTTGAGGCAATTCTCCCGCCTCAGCCTCCCAAGTAGCTGGGATCACAGGCGCGCACCACCATGCCCAGCTAATTTTTTGTATTTAGTAGAGACAGGGTTTCACCATGTTGACAGGATGGATCTCTTGACCTCGTGATCCACCCGCCTCGGCCTCCCAAAGTTTCACTCTCAATTCTATTCTCACTATAGTATATTTAGATGCAAAAATCTAAAATAAATGCAAGCAAAACAAGTTCCACAGTATACTAAAAGGATAATACACCACAATTACATATGACTTACTCCAGAAATCTAAAAATGGTTCAACATTAGCAAATCTACTAATGTAATTCATTATATTAACTTTAGGGAGGGAAAAATTATGGCTCTTCCTATTGGATACCCAAAAGGATATCCAGTGTTGGGTAACTCTTAAAATGACTGGAATTGGCAGGGCACAGTGGCTCATGCCTGTAATCCCAGCACTCTGGAGGCCAAGGCAGGCAGATCACTTAAGGTCAGGACTTCAAGACCAGCCTGGCCAACATGGTGAAATCCTGTCTCTACTAAAAACAGAAAAACTGGCTGGGAATGGTGGCTCAAGCCCAGCACTTTGGGAGGCCAAGGCGGGTGGATCACGAGGTCAAGAGATCGAGACCATCCTGGCCAACATGGTGAAACCCCGTCTCTACTTAAAATACAAAAAAAAAAATTAGCTAGTCGTGGTGGCGTGCGCCTGTAGTCCCAGCTACCTGGGAGGCTGAGGCAGGAGAACTGCTTGAACCTGGGAGGCGGAAGTTGCAGCGAGCCGAGATTGTGCCACTGCACTCCAGCCTGGCGCCTGGCAACAGAGCAAGACTCTGTCTCAAAAAGAAAAGATTGGAATTATCCATTTTTAATATAATAAACAGTATGTTTTTCAAAAAATCAATATAAAACATCATAATTAGTGGTGCTATACTGGAGACCCTCTCATTAAAGCTGGAAACCAAAGTAACACATTCTCATATTAGACGTTATTATAAAAGTTTTAGCCAATATGAAAAAAAATATGTGGTAAAAATATTAAAAAATATTAAATATTTTTAGTGTCACTTTTGTATGATATAAATATTCACAAAGGAAACCAAGCAAATCAATGGAAAAACTACTATAACAATTAAGAGTTCAGTAAGATGGCCAAATACAAAATAAATACACCAAAATTGATAGCTTCCCCAACTGATTATAATCACAGCAGTTAATGGAAGGAAAAGCAGATTCAAAGTAGCAAAAAAAACTGTACAATACTTGAAAGCAAACTTAAGAAACATGCAGAGAATACCTATGAAGAAAAACTACAGTTTCACAGACAAATATAAAAGATGATCTAAATTAAATGGCAATATCATGTTCCTGGGTTCAGAATCTACAGACGTCAAATTTCTCTAAAACCCAAGTTTAAGGCTTTTAATTTTGTTTTTGGCCTGTTTCTCTTCCAAGGGATAGTCTTATGGTGGCAGAGTGGTCATCTAGGTTCTCTCTCATGCTTTTTTGGGCAGTTATTTTTGTGGAATTTCACAATAAATTCTAAGTTTCACTTAAAAAAAAAATCATAATCAGCCACATAATTTTTCAGAAAGAGTATCAGGGAAACTTGACCAGATACAGAAACATACTAAAATGTTACATTAACTATAACAGTATCATACAGATACAGAAGCAGATTGACCAGTGTCACAGAATACAGAATTCAGAAACAGATCTATATAATATGGATATATAGTTTGTGATTAGTAGGCCAGGTGCGGTGGCTCAAGCCTGTAATCCCAGCACTTTGGGAGGCCAAGGCGGGAGGATCACAAGGTCGAGAGATCGAGACCAACCTGTTCAACATGGTGAAACCCCGTCTCTACTAAAGATACAAAAAATTAGCTGGGCGTGGTGGCGCGTGCCTGTAATCCCAGCTACTCGGGAGGCTGAGGGAGGAGAATTGCCTGAACCCAGGAGGCGGAGGTTGCGGTGAGCCGAGATTGCGCCATTGCACTCCAGCCTGGGTAACAAGAGCGAAACTCCGTCTCAAAGAAAAAAAAAAAGATACTACAAAGTATAGTTTGTGATTAATGTGCATTTCATATCAGTGGGAACGTACTAAAAAGATGGTAGGTCATTTGTACAGATAATAGAAAAAAAAGGGAAAAGTAGATTTCTACCTTTTATCACATATAAAAATTATAAGAAGAAAAAATAAATTCTTTTAGAATTTTTTAGTGGTAAAGGACTTTTTAAACATGACATTAAAAATATAAACCATTGGCAGGGCACCATGGGCTCACGCCTGCAATCCAGCACTTTGGGAGGCTGAGATGGGCAAAATCACTTGCGGTCAGGAGTTTAAGACCAGCCTGGCCAACGTGGTGAAACCCTGTCTCTACTAAAAATACAAAAATTAGCTGGGTATGGTGGCACATGCCTGTAGACCCAGCTACTCAGGAGGCTGAGGCAAAAGAATTACTTGAACCCAGGAGGCAGAGGCTGCAGTGGGCCAAGATCACAGCACTGCACTCCAGCCTGGGTGATACAGTAAGATCCTGTCTCAAAGGAAAAAAAACATATATATATATATATATATGAGTATATATATATACGCACACCATATAGGAACAGTCATATATATATATATATATATATACACACATATATATATATCTCACACACTTTTTTTTAATCATATAGGAACATCTAAGAATAAGACAAATCCCGTAAGTCATAAAGGAAAAACAATAAATTTGACTACTTCAATTTTTTTTTAACATGTGAATGTAAAAGTCAACATGAAGTTAAAGGCAAGATTACAAACATGCAAAAATATTTACAATATAAATATCAATAAATAATAATTTATTAAATCTTAATAAACAATGCTTTACCCATCAGTAAAACAAAAACCAAAAACACACAAATATTTCAAAAGAGACATAGGCAAAGGACCTGAACCAGCATTAAAAGAGAAATCCAAAAGGCCATTAAACATATAAGATGCTTAATATAACTAATGAACACATGCAAGTTAAAACAAGGTATTTTTCTTGATGGCAAAGATTACAATGATAAAATTCACTATTAGCAGGGTGTAAAAAATTAGTACTCTCAAACTGCTAATAACCTCCTAGCAATTTATGTGATGATATTTTTAAATGATCATACTCTGACATGGGAATTATAATTAGGGAAGTTAACTGGAAAAAACGCAGGTATGTACAAGAATGTTCATTACAACACTATATATAGAATACAAATGTTTACAAGATATTGGTTAAATAAACTAATACAATGGAAATAAGAAAACCCATTATATAAACATACATGTGTATATATCAAAAAGTCTAGAAATATTTGCCCACCATAATCTCTAATAACTTCTTTTGGAGGAAACTTTCTATTTTACCATTTCTAAACTGAACTTTCACAATCTGCATGAATAAAGGAGGTAATTTTTCTTAATCAGGAATAATTCTGTAACATTTTCATGTCAAAAAATAAAAGTAAAATAATCCTGACAAAGAAATTTAATTTTTGAATATAGGGTAGAGTACTCCTGATGATCAACACTCCTACCCTATCAAATGTAAAAGTTTAAGCTCAGACTCCAGAACACCTGTAATACCCATTGATGACAATATTCTCATGGCATGGGAGAATGAGCTGCAACAGTAAAATAAATCTTCTGCCATATATTCAATAAATACCTGCCAAGGGATGAAAGATTTAAAAATATTTCTGTAAATATCCTATGTTAGCTACAGCCTAGCCTGTTTGAACCATCCTTCCTCTGGGGAAAAAAAAACTATAAAGGTAGGATAAAATATGGGCAAACAACAGTAACAAACATTAGAAACACTCAAGACTTGATAAAACGTTAGGGATCTGCCAGGGCAAAATCTAAGGGAAATTAGGAACACAAGACAGGTAAAAGAAACACCAAAGCCACATATGGCCTAAGAGCACCTGCTGGTCTTGAATTTCCATTTTCAGGGCAACATGGTATCAAGCAGATAGTCATAGACCAAAGCTCAGCCAAGACAGAGGGTTCAATAGGAAACCTTTCCCACTCCAAGCTGGGCCTCCAAAGAGCTACACTACATTCTCAAGGAAAGGGTAAACCAGGAAAAATTACCCCCACCCTCAGACAGTTACAAGGAAGTTGCCTTAGCAGTGTAAGGGTTGTGGGTTCTCTTGAGAAAT